TCTGTATTTTTCTATACTTGTGGTTTCTCTGACTGGTTTTGGTCTCAGGGTTATGCTTGTTCCATAAAATGCGTTTGGGAGCTTTACTATTTAATGGCATAGTATGTGTAGAATTGGTGACAGCTCTTCTATGAATACTTGGCAGAATCCCCCTGTGAAGCCATCTGGTCCCAGGCTTTCCTGGGTTGGCAGCTTTTTAATAACCTACTCCATTTCTTCTTTTTAGAGTTACATGTGTGTTGAGATTTTCTACTCCAGTCTGTGCTAATTGGGAAGATTATGTGTTTATAGAAATTTGTTTATATCTTCTAGGTCTTCTACTTTTTTGGAATATTATCCTTCAAAGTAAGTTGTTCTTATTCTTTTAATTTTATTTGGTTCTGTTGTGATGCTACATTGTTCTTCTCTACTTATAGACATTTGCATCTTCTTTTCCTTTGTTAATTTTGCCAGTGGTTTGTCAGTTTTGTTAATACTTTCAAAGAACCAACTGTCGAGTTTTCTATTGTTTTGTGTTCTCCAATTCATTTATTTCTGCTCTAATGTTTATCATTTCTTTTCTCCTGTTGCTTGAGGGTGTGTTTTGTTGCTCTTTTTCTAGCCGTTGAAGATACAGTGTATTATTGTTAGATTTTATGTCAACTTTGGAGGTAAGGATGGAGTACAACCTGTCAGGTCATAGCCTGGTGATGCCTCTTTGAGGGTGTTGCCTTTTTATAAGAGACACACTGGGAAACTCTCTCTCTCTTGCCCTTCACCTTCCTCTTTGCTTGGATACTGTGTCTGTCTCTAGGCAGTGGCCTCATATGGACCACTGACCCTAGGAGCTGTCGGCACTCTGCTATGCTCCCACTGACCTGGGATCACATGATTCTGCACCCATTAGCCAGTGATCTCCCTGCTCCCTACTTTACCTTTTCATATCATTGCCTTGCAACTATGTGAGTCTGAAATGGGCTCCCACTACCATTACTTGAGTTGGCCTGGGCTGGGGTGTCTTCAAGATATAAAATAGTGATTTTTCACTATTTTATAGTGATGCATTTTTATAGATAACACTTCATAATATACAGTTCTTCCTTAAAAAGTGTGAGTATCACTAGTTTTGTTTCTGTAGACAAGCCCACCCAAATATTGTACTTGGTGCTGATTTTGGTTTTTCCCCTGTTTAGTGATGTGTGTGCTGATTTCTATAAATTGCTCTCTGATAGCCGCGTTTGCTGTGTCCCAAAGATTTTGGTATACTGTGTATTTGTTCTCATTTGCTTCAATGCATTTTTAAATTTTATCCCTTATTTGATTTATTACCCAGTTGTTTTGAAGTACTATGTTGTTCAGTTTCTATGCAGTTGATTTTTTTTGTCCTTCTTTTTCTTCTGTTGATTTCTAGCTCATAGCATGTGGTCTGAGAAAATAGGTTGTAGAAGCTCAATGTTTTTCAACTGCTTACGGTTTGCTTTGTGGAATAACAAATAATAATGTGGCTTACTCTAGAGCATCCTTCCTGTGCACTAGACAAGAATGTATTCTGTGCTGCTGCTGGGTCTGTAGTTGTTCTTAGGTGCCATTGCATCAGTTCCCACCCACAGTGACCCTACGCACAACCTAACAAAACAATGCCCAGTTCTGCTCCTTCTTCACAATTGTTCCTGTGCCAATATATCTCCCTAAGGGCTTTCCTCTTTTTCACTGCCCCTCTCATTTCCAAGCATTATGTGTTGTCTCCTGACAATATGTCCAAAGTATGTGAGACAAAAAATCTTATTATCCTTGCCTCTAGGGAGCTCTCTGGGCATACTTTCATCCAAGACAGGTTTGTTTGTCTTTGTAGCAGTCCATGGCACTTACATCATTCTTGGCCAGAACTATAATTCAAATACATCAATTCTTCTTTGGTCTTCCTTATTCAACGTCCCACTTTCACATGCATATGATTTGATCAGGTGCACCTTAATCCTAACATAACTTCCTTGCTTTTCAATACACTAAAGAAGTCCTGTGCATCAAATTTACCCAATGAAATGAGATGCTTGATCTCTTGACTGTTGTGTCCATGAGCATAGATTATGGATTCAAGGAAGACAATATCATTGACAACTTCAATCTTTTCTCCATTTATCAAGAGGTCACCTCTTGGTATAGTTGTGAGGATTTTGGTTTTGGTTTTCTTTACACAGAGTTGTAATCCATACTGAAGCCTTCAATCTTTAATCTTCATCAGCAAGTGCTCAAATCCTCCTCACTTTCAGCAAGCAAGTTTGTGTAATCTGCATATCTCAGGTGGTTAATAAACCTTCCTCCAATTCTGTTGCCACATTATTCTTCATAGACTCTGGCTTCTCTGATAATTTCTCAAGCATACAGATTGAGTAAGCATGGGGAGAGGATTTCCTGATTTTAAAACATGCATTATTCCCTGTTCAATTCAAGCAACTGCCTCTTGCTCCATGTAAAATCCCGACAGGAGGACAATGAAATGGTCTGGAATCTCCTCAAGGTTAGCCAGAAATATGTTGTTGAAATGCTACCGTCTGAAATGGTGGACTGACAACCAGGTCTTTTTGGTACAGTGACTCTGTGTTCTTTACATCTTCTCTGATGCTTCCTGCATCATTCAATATTTGCCTTCAGAATCTTTCAGTATTGCAACTTAAGGCTTGGATATTTTCTTTAGTTTTTCAGTTTAAGATATGCTGAGTGTATTCTTCTCTTTTGGTTTCCTAATTCTAGGTCTTTTCACACTTCATTATAGTATTTGGCTTTGTCTTCTCAAGCTGCCCTTTCCAAACATTTAAAACAATAATTAATTAATTTTTATTAAAAGATCATTTTATTTGGGGGCTCTCACAACTCTTATAACAACCCATACATCAATTATATCAAACATATTTTTACATATGTTGCCATTATTATTTTCTAAACATTTACTTTCTATTGAGCCCTTGGAATCAACTCCTGTCCCCACCTCACCCTTGTGACCCCTTGATAAATTATAAATTATTATTATTTTCATAGCTTACATTGACCAATATCTCCCTTCCCCCATGGTTTCTGTTGTTCATCCCTCTGGGGTGTGTGTGCGGCTATGTGTTGATCATTGTGATTGGTTCCCTCTTCCTCCCCTCCCCTCCACCTTTCCCCTATCCTCCTAGTATCGCTACTCCCATTCCTGTTCCTGAATTCCATATCAACTTTTTTATTCAGCTCTTTGACTTCATATTTTTTTCCACTTCCTTAGCTGCTTTATGTTTAAGAACAAATTTCAGTGTCTCTTCTGACACCCACTTTGATTTTTACTTTATTTCCAATCTTTTTCATAATATTTTGCTTTCTTCATGAATTTGCTTTCTTCTGTCATTAAATGAACAAGTCAGTATGCAACTCAAATTTGTTCTTGACATGTTCTTGAAATTCAGGTGGGATAGACTCATGGTTGTATTTTGGATCTTGTGGACTTGTTTTAATTTTCTTCTGCTTCAACCTGAACTTACATATGAGCAATTGACAGTCTATTCCACAGTTCAATCCCTGGCTTTTTTTTACTTGCTGATATTGAGCTTCTCTAGCATCTCTTCCTGTAGGTTGTAGTCTAACTTTTGTCCGTCAGTTTGTTGTACTGTGGTGGTTTGTGAGTTGCTGTGATGCAGGAATATGTTTCACTGGTATTTCAAATGTCATCAGGGTCACCCAAAGTCAACATGTTTCACTGGACCTTCCAGAGTAAGAACAGACTGTAAGGAAGGAATTGATTACACCCACTTTGGAGGAAGTAGCTTCTGAAAACCTTTTCCACAGAATTGAAATATTTCAGCTACTGCAGGCCTAGTGAATGCACCTAGAGCATTGTCAAAGATAGTGCCAGAGTGTGCACCCCTTGGACCAGAAAGTACTCTAAGTGTGACTGATGAGGACCTGCTTTCTCAAAGTACAGTCTCCATGGTGACAGGAACAGAGTAAAGCCTGCTGATGGGGCACAACTCAAGGTATGAAGAAACAGCTGACAAAATCTGCTACTAATGAGAACATGGATTGAACAAAGTGTGAATCTAGGGGAATTGAAAGGCATCAAAAATGAAATGGAACACATAAATATTGATATCCTAGTTGTTAATGGGCTGAAATGGACTGGTGTTAACCATTTTGAATAAAAAAGTGATGTGGTTTACTATGCCAGGAATTACACAATAAAGAAGAATGACATTGCATGCATTGTCAGAAAGGACACTTCAAGATCTATTCAGAAGTACAATGCTGTCTGTGATAGGATTATATCTATCCATCATTAAGGAAATTCAATCAATACAACTATCATTAAATTTTCTACCAGTAGTGATGATGAAATTGTAGGATTTTACCAATGTCTTCAGTTTGAAATTAATCAAGCATGCCCTTAAAGTGCATTAATGATGATTGATGACTGGAATTCAACAGTTGGAAACAGAGTTAAGAACAGTAGTTGGAATATATGGAAATGAAGTTGGAGATGGCATGATAGAATTTTGCAAGACTAACAGCTTGTCTGGTGCAGTCTTCTCTCTATGTCTAGATCAGGCTGGTTGGTTGTATTGCTTAGTCCTTCTGTGTTCTTACTGATTTTCTTTTCTGATGACCCATTTTTACTCTGGGAAGGAGCATTGAAGTCTCCTACTATTATTTGTCATAATTTTTTTTCTTCAGTTCTGCGAGCATTTGTATTGTTAATGTATTTCTAGAGTCTTTCATTAGGAGTATATATATTTAATATTGTATGTCTTCTTCTTCTGATATTCCCTTAGTCATTATTTAGGGTCCTATGTTGCTTCTTGGGATGATGTGTTGTTTTTTTTCTTAAAGTTTATTTTTCATAAGTTAATAGGGCTACTCCAGCTTTTTGGTTGCTATTACTTGGTGAATTTTTCTCCAACCTTTTATTTTTAGTCTTCGTGCTTAAGGTGTATCTCTTGTAGGCAGTATATTGATATGTCTTGTTTTTCTTTTCTTTTTTTTTTTTTTTAACTGTTCCTTTATCCAGCTCCGACGCCAAAGAAACCGAATTCAAAGGCAGGATGTGGCTGCCAGGGTGATATGTCTTGTTTTTCTAATCCAGTTTGCTACTCCCTATCTTTTGACTGGTGCACTTAACTTATTGATATTTAGCGTCATTCTTGATAAAAATCATAAGATTTTAACTTAACTCTTTTAAACTCAGATTTGTATCTCCTTTATTCCACACCAAGAAATTCCAATTTTCAAGTACACTGTGACTCACAAAATAAGAAAACCAAGTAATTCCTCATTTACTTTATCCAACAGTCAATCAACAATCAGAATCAAGGCACCAACATTCCACGAATAATATGATTAGTAAAGTCAGCTTTAAAATACTTCTTCCAGTTTCTTTCTGTCCTTAGGGAATTCCTCCTAGAAGGCTAAATTTTAGCTTTTAATACACATTTTTAAAAAGCCTATTCCTTCTTTCTTTGCATAAATAAATATATTCTAAAATCATATGGATTTTCTTCACTTTACTTAATATAAGTTAAAGCATATGCACAAATATTCATGTTCCACTTGACAACATGTAAACACAGTCTTTATGCTTTTACTTCTCTCACTTCATACAACCTGAAGTCTTTCAAAACTTATTGCCATCGAGTTGATAGGTAGGTTTATTTTGCCAATCTGGTCAATAGGACCATGTGGGATTAATCAGGTTGCAGTCTGAATGGAGGGCAAAGAGATAAATGGCTTGGCAAGGCCCACCCCTAGCTCTCTTGCTCTCTGGTGATTGGACCAGCGTGCAGCTGCTTTAGTTGGTTCTCTGCCTCACTTGTGAGCTAACCTACCTGTGGGACAGCCAACCCGTGGATTGTGTGGCTAGAGCTTGAGATTCCTTTGAGACGTGTTTCGCCACACTGCTGCTGAGTACATTGCTTGCGCTTGAGGCTCGTGGATCCTGTCATCTTGCTTGCTTGAGTTCAATATCCTATCTCTCCTGCTTCTCTACCCTCCTGAACTGCTGACTGTTGGTGACCTGCCCTTCTGTTTGCTGCCTGTGGGTGGCTCTGCCTGCATTGCCGAGGGAAGACTCAGCTGTCTACTTCCTAGACCTTGAACAGAGGAATCCTCCTGAGTTGAAGTACTTCCAGTATATAAACTGTTCCTTGGAAGTGGGTTGAACTGAGCCTTCTGTACTGCTGGGTGGATTAAAGAGCTGTTATATTCTTTCGTGCTGTATGAACCATTCCAGATAGATAGATAGATAATTGTAAGTGTCCTGGAGAACCCTGCCTATCACAAACTCTTCCCCCTCCCCCCGCAAGTCACAGGCACATTTATTATCTTCTGGGAACAACATGGTCTTTCCCTCCCCAAAGTGGCCCCGGGCAACAGGGGAGGGCCAAGCCCTCAAGTGGCAGTTACGCTGCCCCGTGGAGCAGGCCCATGGGGTGGCAACGTCATGGTTGGCAGGAACAGGCCTTCAGCTTGCCCGACAGGCTAGCAAGTTCAGGGTCGTGGGCTTCGTAGGACTTGACCACGTGGGAAAACTTCAGGACACCTCCCCCATTGCAGCGGAAGCCATAGGCTTTGATGACCTCCTGCTGGATCTGCGTGGCACGGGCAGAACAAATTGGAGCATCTTGCCCAGGTCATTGCACGCGTTGTCCCGTGCTACGTCAGTGCGCACGGTGTTCTCTGGGACCGAGAATGTCTGGATGGCTTCGGCCAGGGCCACTTTGGCCCGTTCGGTGCTCAATGCCGCGGGCTGGTCCGAAGAGGACGCCATGCAGGGCTAGTGAAAGGGCGCGTGCAGTGAAGCAGCGGGGAAGAACCACCTCCCGAGATTGGCTCCTGTGGTGGTGGTGGTGGTGGCCGGGGGTTCCGGGGAAAAAACAGAAAACCTGCTAGACTAATTCTAAAAGAGCTGTGACACTACTACACAAACTCTTACATAGAGTTCTCAAGGCCGGGGGTCATTATGGGAGCAGGAAATCTCATTTTGCTCCCTGGGAGCAATTGGCAGGTTTGGCCTACCTCCTTGAACAGTCCCATCCTCACCAGCCAGTGAGAGTAGAGTTCCTTATGAACAGACAGCGTCCTACCTTTAAAGCTGCGCACTATTTCTTGCTGCCCTGGTCCTCTCCTGAAAGGCATCTGAATTATTTCTAGGCTGTTCTTATTACAAAGGATCTTGCAATGAATTTTCATGTGCATTTCTTTTCTTGTGATTTTTCTCGCAGAAAAGTTGCAGAAACAAGTGTTCGGATTCTAATTCAACTTCTCTGCATTCATGAACTTGATTGTATGGTGTGGAATGTTTTGGGGCCAGAAAAGTTTCTCTTTTCTACATCCTACTCCTCCTGTGTGAACCACCTTTAAGAATAGCTAGATGAAGTGCTGAGGTTAGAGGACCCGCTCTCTAATGGGAAGCTAGACCCCAGCAAATCCAGCAAAGGTGCCCCCACATACCTCAGAACTGTTTGCGCATAAGCCTCTTTTCTCATCCTTTCCTTGGTTGTTCGGAGCTGGGCTATCGATGGTGGACAAGCCCAGCGTAGATGGCGTGTGTGTTGCCTGGTAGCCAATATCTGTCAGAGACAAGATCACTGTGAACTCTAGGCTACAAGGGAGAAGAGAGGTACCTGACATTCCCTTTAAGCCGAGGGACAGGTCACTACCATGCTACATATTCTGCCCAGTATTTAGAGAATAGTCACTTTGTGCCAATGAAACAAAACGTTGTTGTGGAAGTGGGGAGAGGGGTCCTATTTTAAAAGTGATTTCCTATCCTAGGCAAGCTTTGCTGGCAGAGATTGCAACTGGACCATTAAAACTATTGTCATTGCATATGAAGGGTGTCTAAAACCATCAAATTATTGTAGTAATTGTCTTTGGCATTTGCACAGTTTTGTTTCTTCTCCCTGAGAGTTTCTCAGTGCGTGGAAAGCCCATTTTAAAGTAGAGTCTTAGGAAGATACAGTGAACCCTCGTTTATCGCGGTTAATCGGTTCTAGATCCTACCGTGATAAATGAAATTCCGCGAAGTAGGATTCCTTATTTGTAAATCAAATATTTTCGTAGTTAGAGCATAGAGGACATGAAAAAACACCCTTTAGTCACCATTACACTCGTATTACCCAATTTATTAAACGAAAAAGGGAAAATGTAGTAAAACATTTTGGACGTTACAATTCTCATTTATTATTTATTATATTATTTATGGCATCAAGCGTGTACAGTATGAGCCAATCAGTGGCAGTAATGACAGAGCATGCGCTGTTACGCAAAAACCGCGATAGAGTGAAGCCGCGGAAGTCGAAGCGCGAAGTGGCGAGGGTTCACTGTATAGCCTTTGTTTTTTTAAGGAGAAGTTGTTTGTTTTTTAAGATTATATCTGTTTATAGACACGGCATAGCAGAAGGAAAATAAATCAATCCATTAAAGACATTCTTTCTTTTTGTCATCCCCACATGCATTGTTTTAACATACACTCATTGAGCTAGGCACAGGGGCAGGTCTGTGTGATAAGCAGTGCTTTCTTTTCAACAGCCTTCCAAGTCCGTCAGGAAATAGAAGCCTATTACACATAGATTCAAAATATAAAGCAGATTATTAGACGTGCCAGAGTCATTTATACAGGGCTGCCAGGCGTTCAGACAGTGCGTCCAGATGATTCACTAGGAATCCTGAAAAAAATCAACTGTGGATTCACTAGAGAAATTCCACTCTTTAGAGAGCTTGTATGCAAAGGGCTCACTACACTAAGGTGCTAATGGACATCCACATAAGATAGTAACACGTTTGGGGATGACAGGCTGGTCTCTGGGAGGAGAACGCTGAGATTGTGGCCAATTTTGGAAAGACATTTCATCCGTCAGACTGAGATGCAGCATTGAAGGATGTGGCTGTGTATGAGGAACACAGGAGAAATGAAAGGCTTAAAAAAAAAAAAAGAAAAGTTGCAATCAAAGGTGTGAGCAAAATCCTACGAACACTGCCTCAATGGGCTGATGTGATGGGAAGCAGTTGCACGATATACTGTAACTAAATCATCTCATGTAAAAATGTTTAAATGGCAAGTGTTTTTTACGTGTATTTGTACAAACAAAACAAAACAAAAACCCCCTAGCATGATGGAGGAAAAGGAATGCAGAAGACATGGGTGGAATTGACAGGGCTTAGGTCCCAAATCCATCACTTACTGCTTACGTGATCTTGTTCCAGGTACTTGACCACTCTAAGCCTCAATTTTTCTCATCTTTAAAATGGTTTTTAATAATGCTATCAATTTCATAAGGCGTTTTGTCACATAACAAATGAATAAAGTGCTTAGTACAATGTCTAGTACATGGTAGGTATTCAATACCTATTTTATTATCATCATCTTTAGGTGTTCCAGATGAAATTGAGAGGCTGAGGGGTCAGGAAGGCTGTCTGTCTACAAAGCCATTTAGCCATTAGGGACTCACTGGTCTTCTTTGACACGAGGAAGGGGAGATGGGGACAGACAAGAATCTGCCTAGAAATGAACTGGAATTGTGTCCTTAGAGAGCTGATTCTAGGCACTTCACATACTTTTAAAACTGCACATTCCATTTCGTGAATATTTATGTTAACAGTAAGCTTATGGGTTTCTTTGTGGGGGCCTGAAACCCTTTCTTGTCCTTCATTTTGTTCACGTGTCCCAATACCATATACACAACAGGCAAAGTGTCAGGAAGGACGGAAGGAAAGAAGGTAGGAAGACAGGCAGAAAAGCAGGAAAGAAGGGTCTACAGTTCTAATAATAAAACTATTATTTCCCCCCACATTTTCAAATATGCTCATTTCCCGATGTTCTGGTTTCTTTGGAATTAGGTCCAAGGCAAGGGAATTTGTCACCCGAGTTCACCTGCCATGCATACATGTGCCCCAAAGCAAAAGAGATTAAAACATGTCCCATAGTTCCAGCAAAATACAATAAAGCTTGAATTTCAAGAATGATTTCAGATCTGATGATGGTAAGACAACGTAGTTATCTAAAACTCAATTGAAATAGAATAGTTTTCCTACTTTTTCAAATTCACTGGCACAGTCAGGTACGCCACAGCTTGCAGAAAGAGGGACGCAGGTTTGGGAAAGGTGCTCCAATTCCGATGCTAACTCCTTGGTGGCATCACATAGAGATTCAGTAAAGAAGGCTTTGTCATCTTTCCTCTTCCAAGCAAAACCCGATGCCCTCAAACACAACTAGAAGGAAGCACATGGTATCCATGAAGAGCTAGCATCACCGGGGCAGCAGAGCCGGCCTTCTGTTACCTGGGCATCAATAGAACCCCACTTCCTTGTCCTAAATAGATACCTGTTGTTACCTGCACTGGACTCTGCCCCTGTTATTCATCAGGTCTGAGCTGTTATTCAGTTCCATAGTGCTTTCTCCAAAAGCAAAATGGGATGTTTGTGAAGATCAAATAGCCTGTCGTGTGGTGCTTCCTGCAGGCCTAGTTCCCAGCTTTCCTTCATCAAATCTGACATCTAGATATAGTCTCTGACATGCCGCAAGGAGGCCACTCTTTTCTCTTTTCCTCCCGTTCACGATCAGCTTCTCTAACAGGGAGGGCGTTACTTACCGCCATCGGCTGGGTAATGAGAGCGCAACTCATCACTGAGAGGATCAGCAGGTGCAGCCACTGGGCACATTGGGTTGGACCAAACCTGCTCCGAGGGAGACAGCGGTGATGAGGGGCGCACAAAGGCTGAACACAGATAGCCCCCCTGCGATCTCGGACCCCCTGTGGTAGTGGATGTCACCGGTCAGCGGACAGGGCTTGTGACCGTGGGTTTAGCATCTTACTGTACATTGAAAGGGGGAGGGGTCACTCTTTCTAATGAAAAAGAGCACCAACCTCCCCAAAACTCCTCTATGAGAGAGATAAGAGAAAATCCAACACAAAGACACAGAACAGGCCACAGATACCAGACCAGGAAAGGAAGATGGCGAAAGAGTCACAACAATCATAAGGTTAACCCTGGTTGAGCACTCAGGAGGTGCCAGCCTCTGGGCCAGCATGCAGTATTTCTTTCACTGCTGCAGTCAGTATTTCTTTTACTCCTCAAAACATGATGTAAACTAACTATTATTATTCCACAGATTGGCAGAAGAAGAAACACATCTGTCTTGGAAGAAGTACAGCTGAAACGCTCCATAGGTGGTACTTTGTCTCCCATACTTCGGCTCTATTACCAGAAAGGACCAGTCTCTGGAGAAAAACATCATACTTGATAAAGTCAAGGGGCAGAGCAAAAGAGGAAGACCCTCAATGAGATGCACTGGTACAGTGGCCGCAACAGAGCAACAAACACGGTGAATAGCTCAGGACCTGACAACATTTCATTCTGTTGGACAGAGTCTGGCTGGCATCTAATAACAACATTGGTGATTTGATGGCGTCTAAGAACAACATTACCCCAAACAAGCAAGCAAACAAACAAAACCCCCCCCCATTGCTATCAAGTTGATTCCCAAGCACTATCAGCACCCCTATTTTACAGATGAGAAACCCTGGTGATATAATGACTTCATGCTCTGCTGCCAACCCATCCAGTGGGTCCATAATGGTCTTCTCCCATTATGATTACAGACCACCGGACACGTGGGACAGTTCTTCTCGGTCACATAATAAATAAGTGCGTTGCAATCAACTCAACAGCACCGAAGAGAGAGGAGCATCTTATGGCACAGCGTGATCAGCACGTGCAGCTAGGACAAAGTGAAGAGAACAAAATGATTTAATGTTTGGCTACTCTCTGTTTCATGCAGAGTTGGGCCCACAGGGTCCTACTGAATCAGAACTGGGGCCAGGTCAGCAGGACTGGGGCTACCCTGAGATCAAGAGCAAGGATCATCCTGTGCAGTGGAGCCAAGTCTGGGTCTAGGAAACAGTTCTAATGCCTGCCTGGCATTTATATCCTCTTTTAAATGACACGAGAAGATGACTGGAATGACATTTTTTGTGCTGGTGCACTAGCTCAGTGCCTGGATCTCTCATTGGCTATCAAACTGCTAGGATCCCTCCTTCTTTGGCTGGTGGACCCTGAACCTTCTCATCATATCAGGGAGTCCATCTCTCTCTGGACTGCAGTCAGAGGGCCTAGCTGGCTAACCCACCACTCTGGGTGTACATTTTATTTTATTTACCTAATACTTCAGGAAGGAGAATATCATACTAGAGACATGGGGTGCCTGCATTTCATGTGTTTCCAGAAATACAAGGATTTCCTTATAAATGTTTGACTTCAGTCAAAGGACTTGAAGATGTTTAAAGAAACGTTTTGGCTTACCTGTATCCTAGAATTCCTGTCCCCAAACAGCATGCAATAGACACAAATGTGCACAGGACCCACCCAGCAAAGCTCAGCCAAGGTGAAAGCATTTGCTGCCATTGGGGAGCCGGGGCTGCGAGTCCTCCACTGGGTGCTGAGAAAGAACAGGGAAAAAGAGACTGTGTTTAGTAGCCCTGATGTTTACCATTCTGGGACTTGTATTTATTTTCCCGTTGTTGTCTTAACTGACAAGACGCCCAAACTTTCCTTGTCCATCTGTCCCTTTTAGAAGACCCGCAAAGAACTGCCTGCCAAAGCCCACCCTTCGATATCAAAAGCCAATGCACCAATTTCTATCCCATAGCCCAGATGACTGAGCAGTGAAACCTAGAGTCGGAAGGGTTGGCCATTATTTGGCTCAAGAACCTACAGACCATCAGGGAAAGGAGTGTGAGCATGTTGTTGTTTTTGTTTTTTAAATCCCATCACCTTTTCAAAGACGTGGCTTTCCAACAGGCACGCCCATGATCAGAGGGCTGTCCCTTGCTTCTTGACTTTGAAGAAGGACACTGGAGCCACATAACCACAAGGGAAAGTTCATAGGCACATACCTCATATAGAGATACCGTCAGAGGCTACTCTTTAATGTGGGCCGAGCAGCACAATAGGTTTAGGTAAACAGGAGGGGCTCTTCAGGAAATTGACATTAGGCACACCTCAGGAGCACTCTGGCTGGGTCATCAGAGGAACCTTAAGCCATAGCTTCTCAACTATCTGACCCACAACCTGGTGGGGTGAGTACACACTCTTTTATAAGCAGTTCTGTCCACACATCAGGCTCTCATGTGTGTAGCTTATCCTAATAACCAGGATCTGATATGGTTTCAAGTTTATGCCTGGTTCCTGCTCAGTACTGGTTCCCTGGATAAAACCCAGCTGTCATGTAAGAGGCCTCACTCATTCACAGAAGCAACATTTTTATACCTTGTCATGTGTAGTATTCAGCACAACCACCCCAGCCCGTCCTTCAAATGCTAGCACCACCCTAGAAGCTACTACCTCATAAAACATCAACATCCCCAGCTCAGGCATCTAAGGTTAGAGCCTGAGAAACCCATGTACCAACTCACGTCACTGTCCTAAGCCCTGCAGTTACACACCAGTCTCAGGTCCCTCACTCCCTACTGCTCCCTGCGACACCAGGCCTAAGATTGTCTTCTAGGGTAACTGTTACTACTAGATACCTGACCATTCTTTAAGGCCTCCAAGAACCCAGCCTGTTTTTTCTGCCCAACTCTCCTATCTCCACTGGTTCATCCTGAGCATCCAGAAAAATCCGATGCTACAAGCTTTCTTTAATTAGTATTAAAAACAAAGGAAATTTATAATTTCAGGATACTTTAAAAAATGTAAGATTCTATTACTGACTTTCAAAAAGCCAAGAGCAAATCTTTATTACGTCCCTTCCAGAAACCACCAACATTTTAGAATATATGCTATGCCTCCATTGTAGCTGAGTCCACCCTCTGATGTTAGATATTATTATAATATTTGGTCAACTCTCCCTGCACTTGTCCCTTTGCTCCCATATCCAGCAGGTTGATGCTGGATAAGGAAGGGAGAGAGCTACCCCCACACACATAAACCATGCCATTCATGGGACCTTACACATGTGGAGAGGGGGGCACAACCTTCTCCTCCCATACATAGACTCGCTGCCATCAACTCTCCGGTCGCTGTTATGTCTAGAGAAGACGTCTAATGTGTTACACTAGAAAAGAACAATTAGGATAAGGTTAGTGTACAGATTGGAGGGAGGCACACTCCATGCTTCGTCTGAATATCTACTGTTTATAAGCCTTCTCACGGTAGGAGAGTGATGTTGACAAGGTTTTCGTAGGCATCAGGGCTTTGGATGAATTCTGGGAACCGAGGGTAGTGAGAAGAGGTCTGGTTTGCCCCCGTAGCCAGCAACTCGTGCCCACAGAGGGCAACTGCACATCCCGGGGGCAGTGGTGGTATGTGGGGAGTGCCCTGGGGGGTGCTCACTGCAGTCAGGAAAGACAAGTCACCTGTTCTTTGGGTTGCATGACCTGGATCCTCCCTGAGGTGAGCATTTCAGCCACAATCAGAATTAGGCAGGACACTAATGCTGTGTTTGGGGAGCATTCGGAGCAGAACAAAATGGGTGGGTGGGTAATGGGCAAGACACATAAAAGACACTAGGATCCATCCCCCTCCCCCCACAGCAAGGCTTATGCTAAAGAATGGAATCTATTGGGCTGTTGATCAGGAGAGTTAGAGACTCGAAAAAACAAAGGAAGCTATCTTGCTTAGGTGGCCCTGACTTCTGTCCAAGGTGGTAGAACCATTTAGAAAAGGGTCATGGAACGTGGCGCAGTATGACAAATGTAATCAATATTACCGTGATAACTGTGCATCTCAAAACTGTTGACCTAGCCAAAAAAAATCACAAAAAAGGAAAAGAAAGATTTTCCAAGTGACCACAAGCTCTTCCCCAAGGAAGAGCTGCACTTAATATTAATGGAAGGTAAAATTATCGATGAGCTAATGCAGTGGAGGTGTTTAGAAGTGATTGTGAGTCGTAGCCACAGCTGTTCCACTGAAAGACTCAGGATGATGTTTCTCCATAATTCCTCCAACAGCCCTCAGTCCACAGCACAATTCTCAAAGGTGTCACTCAGTCCTGTTCTTTGCTGCCCGCATCCCATCCTCGAAAATGTCACCAACACTCAGTTGGCTTTCTGGTTGTTTGTGCTGCATACCATCCAGTTTTTGCTGTGGTTCTTTCTCCTGGACCTTCCAAAACAACCACCCCCACGGCCTGTGGTCTGGGAACACCCCTCATATTCTGGAGAACACCTCTGTCCACCACCCTTGACTAACCTGGGGTTTCCTGAAAATTTGTTATTGTTTCCTACCCACCTGGGACCTGCCCTGCTCATGTCAGACCTCAGCCGAGAGAGGGTGCCAGGGAAATCTAATTGTTAGAATGTTCAACTAGAGAATTCCCTCCTGTACATAAATATCTACTTACCTTATAGCTCTTCTGTGCATCTAGGGTCCTTCCATGGGAATTGGGACCTGATTAAAAAACAAGCCAGCTGTATCATTCTAAAGCAGGGATTTACTAGAACCAGGGATTTTTTCCCTTCTCCCACCTGACTCCACCAGTACAAGCCTTTCTTGAGAAACAGGAAACGACTGAGATGCAGATTTCTCAAGGTCGCTGTCCTAGGATGTGAAAGTTAGGTTCTGTGTCTGGGGCGGGATTCTTGTAGCTTGGCAGTTGCGGCCCCTAACATAATGCAAATCATTTCATGATGGAATCTGATATGAGCAGCAAAGCAGTGGTAAGGAGACTGGAGAGGAGCAAAGCCTCCTTGCTCAGGTCACCGACCTGATGGCAATTGAAAGGACGCTTCCTTGGCGTGTGGCCCCCTCCTAGTTAAGCAGAGCCCGTGGGAAGTCTCTTTTTGTTGGTCTGGATTCTACATCTGTCTCGGTGGCCTGCTGTCTTGCCTGCCAACTTTAGATTTCTTGGACTCGGCAGCCACAAGGCTGACCTGCAGCCTGGTTCATCTTCCTGCCCTTTGAGTCGCAGTCTCCGCAGCTCCATGAGCCAGAAGAAGGGTCCAGCTTTACATCTGGCCCACAGACTTGAACCAGGCAGGGCTTAACCACTTCTTCAAAGTGTGAGACACTTTCTTGATCTAAAATTCTCTGCCTTTCATATACATAAAACAGAGAATTTGCCTGCAAGATGTGTGGATCACACACATATACTTGACATATCACATATGATATATTCTATATTATATTTATATTATATAATATATAGATTTTATATATACATTCTTGATATAAAATCTTCTCTCTATATCTATCTATCTATCTATCTATCTATCTATCTATCTATCTATCTATCTATCTATCTATCTATATAGATATATATGTTTTTGCTTCACTAGAGAACCCAGCTCAATATATAGGGTAGATTGGCAGAGCCCATCACACTCCTACCCCAAGAATGCCCTAAAGAAACAGGAGCTCAAGGAAAACATGTAGCTGAAAGAGTAAAAAGAGCCTTAAGAGACAACATTGATCAATGTGGCTGCATTAAAAACCGTAGCGCAGTAATCCTACTTGAATAGCAATAATCAACACCCCAAATCACTGCCACTGAGTGAACTCCAACTCAGAGACCATCTTGTAAAGCTTCACGGGAACAGACGGTGTCATCCTTCTCCCTGGGGGTGGCTGGTGTGTGTGATCCACACATCTTGCAGTTGGAAGCTTGTTGAACCACCAGTCTTGCAGTTAGCAACTCGCCATTAGCAGCTGTAATGGCCACTGGGAAAAATAGTCATTACCCATTTGACAAAAGCTTAATTTAAATTTACTTAATGTCTGACAAGCAGTTACATATAAAGAAGACTGTGGAAGTTTTAAAGCTTTGATACATATGGGTAAAAGAAATGTACAGATCAGAGAAAACATCAAAGTCGCTTTTAAACCTATGAAATGATGCTCAGAGTCCCTCACAGTGAGCACATTGCAAAATAATCCTATTATTGCTTTTCTTGTTATTGCCATGGAATCAGTTCAGCATCCTAGTGACTCTACTGCCAGAGAAGAACTCCCCATGGGGTTTCCTGAGCTGTCTTCTTTATAGGAAGCAACCAAGACAGCACAATGGTTAGGGGCTCGATGATGAGTTATGGGAATCTGCTCCGGTCAAGGTAACTGCGGAAGTCATATCCTGCCCTATTATAGATGGACTACGAGTCCGAATGGAGTGAACAACATACAACAACAATAGTTTTACAGGTGGCTAGGTCTTCTTTATTGCAGAGCGGCCAGTGGGATCCAAGGGCCAGGCACTCAATAACGGAGTTCCTTAAAATGAACACCTGGAGTTATAATTTCTACTGGGTAGATTGGCCAAGAAAGATCAGCCACAGGGTGAGGATTTCCGTTAGCCTCCTCTACCAAACTTAATTTTCCTGCTATGATTTTTATACTTTGACATTGGTTATTTAGTGCACTTACCCCGAGTTGCCTCCCCAGATACAGCCCTCCAGCTGGGCTCCTCTCTGGATGGCCCTGCGTTAGTCTACAGAAAGAAGGGTTACTCCGAGTTAATGGTCATTGGCGAGCAGAGCAGTCCATGAGAGGACAGAGGCTGTGGGACAGTGCCACTTACCTGGCTGAGTCGGAAGAGCAGTGACAAGAGCAGGGCTCCGGGAAAAGCCACCAGTGTACAGAGAAGGCTTGTTCTGAAGGAGCCACTGGTGATGTGGGTTGGACTGACATCTAACGAGAGCTGGAATAGTCAAACCACAACATCACACCAGCCTACACATCGATTGTAACTACACATGCACAGCCAACTCATCCCCCAGGGGTAATCATTCTGTTTCCTTCCCATATAAAACGTTTGGATTGGATACCCTCTCCAGCCATGAGGTTCTGTGTCCCCATGTGCCTCACTGATTTCATCCTTACTACTGTCATAGACCACAGGTGCTGGATAACAGGTATCAGTACTCCCAGTGTATTCCGATGTGTTGAGTGGCCCAGGAGCAGACAACGTACAATTGGCAGAAGGGAAAAACAAGGTTAGGTTCTTTTTCCCAAGTGCGCACAGGGACTTTTCCCTTGATAGCGGATTTTCTTTCTTTCTTTTTTTAAACAAATCATGTGCACATTCTCTTTGTAAGAAAAGACGCGAACAATATCTATCTGTCATCACACATAGATGAACATGGGACTAGCCACTCCCTATCTCCAAAAGATGGACAGTGAGTCTGATCACGGGGAATACTGCTGTCTCCAGGCCCCAAACATGTGTTCTTGCATCACACAGGGGCCCTGCGAACTCAGTGGGGGCAGGGATCCGCCAATAAACATGTGATTATCAGACGAAAATATAAGCTATTTTCCCTCACCTGAAAAATCAGGTTAAGAATCCTCCCCAACCTCTGACCCCTGGTTTTTCACTAGGAAAGTCAGATTCTCTATTTTCCTTTTCAACTACTGGTATTTATTTAAAATTAGTCTGCACTCCTCTTGGGGGATAATTAGAATAGAGTTCGAAATTGTCATCACCACAGCAAGTGTAGCCATAAGAGGTGATTTTTCACCAAGAGTAAATTTTCTGAAAGTTGGAATTAATTACCAATGAATACGAAAATGCAGGAGTATTATTATTAGAAAATCCCATTTGTCAACACTGCCTGAAATATCCTACGTGCCCCACGAGAAGGCAGGGTGGTGTTTATTTGACCCCAGTCTTGTGGAGCCTCTCTGGACTCCTACTCCGACCCTTCACCTGTGTGGTCCCTTGGGACTGACATGCTGCTCCCTACTGAAAACTCTGGTTGGAGGCCTTCCTGTTTCGCGGGTGCCTTCACTAAGAAAGTTCACATTGTGGAATCGTAACCTGGGAGCCCTGCTTAGGGAAGCACGGAGCCCCACCTGCTCTTGTGCAGCAGTGAGTGCAGCGGTGAGACAGGAATACATGCACAGCAAGGAGAAAGAGATGGTGAGCCGCTGTGTGTGGAGGTAGCAGCTGTAGGAGGGCCGGCTGTACACAGAGATCCAGATGTGGAAATCCTCCAGGAACTCTGTGAATTTGGCATACAGAAGCTAAAACAGGAACCAAAAGAAAGGCATGAGCTGACATTAACCATTTATCTAAATAGAATTAAATCTGCCACCTATCACTTTGTCATTCTGTGGTGACTTGTGTGCTGCAGTGCTGCTGGATGCCATGCCACCAGAGTATCAAACACTAGCAGATCCACGCCTTGTGGACACGTTTCAGCAGAGCTTCCGGATAACACAGACTTTGAGAAAGGACCTGGTTATATATTTCTGAAAATAAAAAATCGCCATTGGAAACTTTATGGATTATCTGTCTTACTTTGTTATTTTTAAATTTCCCCCTGTATTTTAAATCCAGGATAGATAAATTTATAGAAACAGTAAATGGATCAATGGTACCTTGGGAGTATTGCAAGGGACCTCCAGGGGAAATGGGGTCCCTAATAACGAGTACAAAATTGAAGAAAACTCTATAAAATTGATTGTGATGATGATTGCACAACTCTCCGTGATGGACGCAAACTATTGAATTGTATGATCTATGAATTATATGCCAAGAAAACTGTTGGAGAGAAAAAGAAAACTTTACAACGTTTCTGCCAAGATAAACCACACAGACACACTACACAAAGCCACAAGAGACCAAATGAATTACCTAAACAACTCACTGCCATGAGTCCATGCCGACTCACGGCAACCCTAAAGGGCAGGGTAGAACTGCCCCTGTCGCTTGCTGAGGCAGTTACTCTTTGCAGGAAGTAAAGAACAGCAACATAAAACTACAGCCTCCAGAAAAAAACCAACCAAGATTATCCAAACCCAACAACAAACTCACTGCCATCAAGTCTACTCTGGCTCACAGCAACCCTTCGGTGCAGAGTAGAACTGCTGCTATAGGCTTCCGAGAGCCTCATCTTTCATCTGCAGAACAGCTGGTGGCTTCGAACTGCTGACCTTTGGGTTAGCAGCCCAATGGGTCACCACTGCACCACAGAGCCTAAAAAACAAAATGGTAAAAATAGTCAACACAACCTCCATCGAAAAGAAAGCAAATAATACATTTCTTTGAAAGGATTGAAAAATCAACAAACTACTGGTAAATCAAGCAAAGGAAAAGAGGAGAAGATTCAAATAACACAAATAAGAAATGACAATGCAGATAAAGAATAACAACAGACTAGCTTGAAAAATTACTCTAACAAATTGTAAAACTAAGAAAAAGAAGAAATTGGTACAAGCACGCTACCCACCTAAACTAAAACCAATTGTAATAGAAAATCTGAACAGATTCATAACAAAAATTTCAATTGGTCAGTTCAATTGGTTAACTCTTTTTTAAAAACTCTTTAAAAAATCATTTTATTGGGGGCTCCTACAGCTATTATCACAATCCATAAATCCATCCACTGTGTCAAGCATATTTGTACATATGTTGCTATTATCATTCTCAAAACATTTTTTTCTACTTGAGCCCTAATAAACTCATTTCCCCCCTCTCCCATCCTCCCTCCCTCATGAACCCTTGATAATTGATAAATTGTTATTTTTTTCATGTCTTACACCAACTGCTCTCTCCCTCACCCGCTTTTCTGTTGTTCATTCCCCTGGGAGGGGGGTTATATGTCGATCTATAACAATTACTCAGAGAAGAGGTGATCTCAATTCTACTCAAACTATTCAAGAATAAAGAAAAGGTTGGAAAACATGAGAATTCATTTCATAAAGCAAGCATAACCTTGATACAAAAACCAGGCAGAGGAAATGTCTAATAAAAATTATAGATTAATCTGTTTTATGAACGTAGAGGAATTAGCTGCCCACCATGGAGTAAGCAACACTGAAAACCTTATCCATAAAACTGAAACACTGTCAAATACAGAAAGCACAATGAATAGAAGCAGACCATTGTTAGAGACAGTGCCACAGCCCGGGCCCCTCACTCCGACGGCATTTGAAATGTAACTGAGGAGGAGCTGCCTTCTCAAAGTACAGTCAACCACAGTGATGTGGTGGAGTAAAGCCTGTGGGAGTAAAGCCTTCGGGATCTCAAAATGAGATTAAACCACTGCAACAATCTAGTAATAATTGGAACTTGGAATGTACAAAGGATGAATCTAGGAAAACTGGAAATCATAAAAAATGAAATGGACTACAAAAAGATTGATATCCTAGAGATTAGTGAGCTGAAATGGACTAGTTCTGGCCATTTTGAATCAGAATGGCTTACTGTGCTGGGAATGACACAATCTAAAGGAATGGCATTGCATTCATTATCACAAAGGGCATTTCAAGATTTTTTTACGTCGTTGTATTTTTTCCAGCAGTTTTATAGGCATATAGTTCCTATATCATATAATTCAATAGTTCAATCACATCAAGAGGTGTTGTACAATCATCACCACTATCAGTTTTAGAACATTTTCTTTGTATTCATTGTAGCCTCCCCTTTCCCCCCAATCTCCTCTGCCATGCTCTCAAGGAACCATTAATCCAGTTACTGTTATAGATTTACTTATCTTAACTATAGTAATAGATTTACATATCCTGGATTTCACATACAGAAAATCATTAAACAAACAAACAAAAACTGACAACAATAACAAAGTAAAATCAGATTTAAAACCTTAGAAAATATTTTTAAAACTATAATAAATTTAAATGGCTTTCTGTAACAGGATTATATCTATCCACATGCAAAGAATCCCAATCAATACAATTATTATTCAAATTTATGCACCAACCACAAAAACTATTGATGAAGAAATTGTAGAATTTTACCTATGTCTTCCGTCTGAAACTGATCAATGTACAATCAAGATGCATTGATAATTATTAACAAATGGCATGCAAAAGTTGGAAACAAAGAGCAAGGAACAATACTTGGAAAATATGCTCTAGGTGATAGACATGAAGCTGGAGAGGGCAGGATAGAATTTTGAAATACTAATGTCTTCTTCATAACAAATACCCCTTTGAAAAAACACAAAGGGTCACTGTACACATGGACTTCTCAGATGGAATACACAGAAATCAAATTGACCACATTTGTGACAAGGATTATGGGGAAGCTCAATAGAGGTTACTGTGGAAAAACCACTAATTGCTCATTTGTAAGTTCAAGATAAAACTGGAGAAAATTAAAACAAGTCTACAAGAGCCAAAATCGGACTTTGAGTATATTCCACCCACATTTCAAGGACAGATTTGCTGCATTGAGCAGTAATGATAGGAAAGCTGATGAATTGTTGGGAGGACACCACGAAAATCATTTATGAAGAAAGCAAAATGCCATGAAAAGACAGGAAAGAAAGGAAAGATCAAAATGGGTGTCAGAAGAAATGCTGAAACTTGGTCTTAATTATAGAGAAGCTAAGAAAAATGAAAGAAATGATGAGATCAAATTACTGAGCAGGAAACTCCACAGGGCAGCTCAGGAAGACAAAGCAAATCATTATAGTGACGTGTGCAAAGACCTAGAGGTCGGACACTAAAGGGGAAGAACATGAGCAGCATGTCTTAAACCGGAAGAACAGAGGCAATAACTCAAGTATTGAGTGGCAACATGGAAAGATTCTGCAGCCAAAATACTGGATGATGCAGCAAGCATTAAAACAAGATGGAAAAAATGCAGAGCCTGTGGACCAACAAAGATCTAGTGAGCAGTCCACCATTTCAGAAGGTAGTGCATGAGCAAGAACAAATGGTCCTGAAGGAAGAAAAGTAAGTTGCACTGAAACATTAGCCACCAACAAGGTTCTAGGAATCGATAGAATGTTCCAGGCAGCTGATGAAGTCAATCCCTCCTCACAGCGACTTTACAGAACAGAGTAGAACGAGTTCTGTGGGCTTCTGAGGCTGTAACTGTTCACGAGAGCAGAAAACCTCGTTTTTCTCACACAGATTTGAACTGCTAACCATACTGTTAGCAACTCAGTGTGTAACCCACTATTTCATCAGAGGTGATACAAATCCAAACAATGAGATTCCACCTCGTCAAGCATTAACAGTGAAGCTAAGGGCATGAACAAACCCCCTGGGAAACAAGTGAAGAACAAATTACTCTGAGAACTGGCTTGCCAGACACCTTAACCTTGAAGCCAGGCCCTAGTGAAAATCCCATTGCCAGACTGTACTCAGAGATAATTCTGGGACATGCTGACCCAGAGCAGCAGCTCAGATAAAACTGGAAGAAATGATTCATGAGAACAAAGGATAGGCCAAGTAACTAATTAGAAAGTTGCTTGACCATCTTCAGAGTGACAACCCCCTCTCATTTGAAAGTGTCATATGAGAACGAGAAGTGTTCATCCAGATAACGTCCCTTCTCACTTTGATAGGGCGACCCGCGTTGCTCCCAGAGTGAAATGTATCTTCTCGATGCCCTTCTCACCTCTTGAGAGGGACCCGCTTCATTCCTTTTGAAATGGCTCTATGCTTTAATAAAACTGTGGCTTAACTTTTGCTGCAGGGGGCTGCTGGTGTGTGTGTGTGTGTGTGTGTGTGCACATGCGCGTGCATGCGCGCGCGCTTGCTTATCTCTGGACACTAACAAACAACACAGGGTTGGAGTTTGCTAGTTCCTCTATAGGCAACAACCAGGTATTGAACTTCACACTTATCTGAGTGAACAGCAACTGGAGTCTTCAAAGGTCCTGAACAGTTATCTAAGGTGCAGTTAGTGACTCTCCCCATTCAGAAGAAAGGAGAGTGATGAAAACAGAAGGCAAGGAACTAACTAGCCCAGTGGATTAATGGGCCACACAAACATCAGTTTCCATGACCCTGAGACCAAGGGAATTAGATGTTGTGTGGCTACCATTACCAACAGCTCTGAAAATGATCACATTAGAGAGTCTCAGAAGAAAAAAAATGGGGAAAACTCCAAATTATAAAAGAGACCATGCTTCCTGGTCAAACAGAGAGACTGCTGGGGTCCTAAGCCTATGATCCTCAGTCACTCATAGGTTCTGGAAATGAACCCATGCCCTGACTAAATTTTCATAAAAAAATAAACAGGCCTATAAATAAAATAATAACACTAG